TATTTTTTAGTAGAGACGGGGTTTCACCAGGTTAGTCAGGATGGTCTCGATCTCCTGACCTCGTGATCTGCCCGACTCAGCCTCCCAAAGTGCTGGGATTACAGGCTTGAGCCACCGCGCCTGGCTTTTTTTTTTTTTTTTTTAAGTACAGATGGAGTTTCACCATGTTGGTCAGGTTGGTCTCAAACTTGTGACCTCAAGTGATCCACCAGCCTCAGCCTCCCAAAGTGCTGGAATTACAGGCGTGAACCACCACGCCTGGTTTATTTTTGGTTCTTCTTAATAGTAAGAACTTGCTACACCTGTTTTCTGTGTGTGGAACTGCAGCCTCTCTGCTGCTGTAACATTTGGCTTTGGTCTCAGCAGACTTAAACTGTCATTCCAAAGTATACCAGTTGCTTTCAGCACTATATGTCACAGGAGACAGAAACCAGTGTCTAGACAGGACCCTAGAAGCAAGTAATAAAGATGTATGTGCCAGTATTTTAATTGTCTTTTAAAGAAGAAACCAAACCTTGGCAGTTTACTTCGAAAGGCACAGTTATGTTGGGGAGCAGGAAGAGCTGTGTTGGGTAAATGTAACAGACTTTTCTTTTTCTTCTATGTCACTCTCTATGTTGTGCTCAGCTGGGGCACTTCACACATGTAACTTATTTATACATTTTCCTCAGATGTATTTTTGTTGTATGTTTTTGTTACATTTACATGTCCATAAAAAATTAGGGTCTTTGGGCCAGGCATGGTGGCCAGTGCGCCAAAGTGCGGTAATCCCAGCACTTTGGGAGGCTGAAGTGGACGCATCAAGACCAGACTGGCTAACATGGCGAAACCCCATCTCTACTAAAAATACAAAAATTGGCTGGGCATGGTGGCGCGTGCCTGTAATCCCAGCTACTTTGGAGACTGGAGCAGGAGAACAGCTTGAGCCTGGGAGACAGAGGTTGCAGTGAGCCGAGATCATGCCATTGCACTCCATCCTGGGCTACAGAATGAGACTCCGTCTCAAAAAAAAAAAAAATTAGGGCCTTTGTTCTTTTGCTTTGCCATCTTGTTTATGTAGTTTGTATAATTTTATGGGTTACATTTGTAAAGCATATTCATCTGAGTCTAGTAAATGGAGTAATTTGTTATTTTTATTTCTTTCAGTTATATATTCTCATTTTGCCCAAGACCTTTGGCCAGAGCAGGGCATAAAAGATTCTTTCCAAGAAGTCATATTGAGAAGATATGGAAAATGTGGACATGAAGATTTACAGTTAAGAACAGACTGTAAAAGTGTGGATGAGTGTAATCTGCACAAAGAATGTTATAATGAACTAAACCAGTGTTTGACAACTACCCAGAGTGAAATATTTCAATGTGATAAATATGTGAACGTCTTTTATACATTTTCAAATTCAAATATACATAAGATAAGACATACAGGAAAGAAGCCTTTCAAATGTAAAAAATGTGACAAATCGTTTTGCATGCTTTTACACCTAACTCAACATAAAAGAATTCATATTAGGGAAAATTCTTACCAATGTGAAGAATGTGGTAAAGTCTTTAACTGGTTTTCAACTCTTACTAGACACAGAAGAATTCATACTGGAGAGAAACCCTACAAATGTGAAGAATGTGGCAAAGCTTTTAAGCAGTCCTCAACCCTTACTACACATAAGATAATTCATACTGGAGAGAAACCCTACAGATGTGAAGAATGTGGCAAAACCTTTAACCGGTCTTCACACCTTACTACACATAAAAGAATTCATACTG